CACCTCTACAAAAGCTTGCGAAGAATGACAAATTTGAATACAATACAGGTTCACACTGCAAATTTCGTTGTCTATTGGTTATTTTTGCTGGTAGCGAAAACTGCATAATTTTTGTGATTATGTTTATTTTCATGGTTATTTTAATACCAGTTTTAGATATGATCCTGATCTTTTAGGAAAATATGTATACATTCAACGCAATGACTATAATATACACAGGTTTTGCAGCTAAATAATGAAAATTGCAAAGAACTGTCTACTTGTGAATACAACGTGCTAAATTTATTCATAAACGCCGGCTGAGTTAACGCATCTGAAACCGCTTATACGATTTTAAACGGTGAATATTTCACAAGCGCTCTAGCGTTACGCTTATCCGATTTTTCGCTCATAGTGTTTGCCAATAATGTTTATTTTGTGATCGCTTTCCTTCTCTTGACCAAACAAAGCTATTACTTTCCTTATCTTCTAAAATAAATGTACTATAATATCACATAATATTTTCATCTCAATTCTTACCCCATGTGCACAAAAGGCATAAGTAAGTGTACTGTGATTTTTAGTTCATCCTTATTGTTTGCTTGGCGCAGTTTTAAATTTTGTGTGCCAGCAACAAAAAATTTGGAGGTCCCCAAAAAAGGTGTACTATTTGCCTTGGCTGACATTTGGCATGATAAAATCTACTAGCTTTCCTAGCTCCGTTGTGCTCAAAATATGACAGCAAGAAACAATTTTGAAACGCGTGCTTTAGCGGTTATGTCTGTGCTTGGCAGAGATGAAAGGACTTGCAACTGACAATGTCCGGAAAAATTTTATCGTTGTCCAAGAAAAATTTTTACTGTTGCTAAGTCCCCAACGCTGTGTGGAATAAATAAGGTTTATATCAGAGCGATTAGCGGCGGAAGTATACATGTTTTGCTTTTTATTCAAAATAAAAATCAGCCGCCGAGCATACAAAAGAACGTAAGCTTTGCTAAGCATGTTAGAATGCACCAGGTATTATAAATACATGGAAGATTTTAAAGATACTGCGGAAAGAAAACTCACAACCCGTTAGTTCAAATAATTAACATTGTGGCCATTATTCAACTTATTAAAATGTAAACGTTACTTTAAGGTGACGAGATACCCGGGGAAAATCCACCTTGTGGGAACGTTCGCATTCCTTTGATTTTCTTCGACAAGAGGGAATACATTTTTTTCTGTTTGCCAACACGACGTATGTGTCTTGTTAGAGGTGGCTCCCAAAACCCCATAAAGTGGATTCCAAGTTTCCAAAGCACACGATGGTTAAGCTATGTATCTCCGAAATTTTGTAAACACCGCAGACGCCATTGTGTTGATTAAACCCATTTTTCCAGCGATTACAAATTTTCTGCTTTCTGTCAAAACCAAAATCGCCGGTGTACGAATATAGCACGTACGTCAGTCTTGTTTAAGTGAACTGTTGC